AAATTAGCTTCACACTAAAAAACAAACGAACAGAAAACACAGCAACATGAACAAAAGTAATCGTCACCCTAAAAACGCAGCTAAGTGAGCAAACAAAATACAGGAACATCAGAGGTCTGTAGAATGAGTATAGGGCATGCTAAAAGCGAAACAAAGCCCAGCACTAAAACACAAACAGAATATATATAAAGGCTACGAAACAAAGCCCAGCACTAAAAAACAAACAAAGTATATATAGAGGTTACAATCTTTTTAGCATTGATAAGAAATTATGTATATGCATATATGTTCAGATCCGCATCATGAAGTTTATTATACAAGTGCGTAATTCTAGACATGGGTGAGGAATCATATGGGCATTAGGGTAAAATGGTAAAATCACTCTACTACTTCGTGTCGGTACGTGAAAGTTCACAGATGATAAGAGTGATTGCTATCAGTCCGGCCAGAAGTTACTTTATGTAAAAACGCACATCACAAATGGTACGTTTTAAGCTGAAATAGTTCATAAGTGATTCATAATTATATTAACAATGTTGAAAGTATCTGTCATAAACTGTTCGCACCAGGCGCTTCAGAACTCGCTTAATTTCGTTGCTCTGACTAGAAGACATTCAAGTCATGAACGAACCAAGGAACAAAATAAATGGATCAAACATGTAAAGCTAAAAAATTATGCGTCGTTCGTGAAATTAGCCCCAGTGTACGTAGGGAAGTACCCACTATCGAAGTGACTTGTTCTTTAAAAGTGAGCCGGCTATCAACAACAACGCCAAGGTAACGCACAGTAGAAACACTCTGTATGACCGTTGCACACGGCAGTGTGTATTGAAAACCAACCTGATCGCGCTTTGTGGGCAATGAAATATTTTTCGTCTTTTGTGGATTGAAAAACAAATTATTAGATGAGCACCACCTTGACACGCTATTTATATCTTGTTGCAATAATGAACAGTCCCTTAATGGCATGAACTGATGAATATAGCTTGATGTCATCAGAAAACAATAAAATCTTAGCATATTTAACGGAGAAAACAATATCATTTATGAAAACTAAAAAAAGGAGAGGCCCCAGGTTTGAGCCCTGTGGCCCTCTTGAAGTTGAGGAAAATTGATGGGATAATGTATTCAAAATCCGAACAGAATTCTTGCGTGAAGAAAGGTATGACTTAAACCAGGCAAGATATTGTGGACATAGGCCATACAAGCGAAGTTTTTTGACAATAATAGAACATGATTTACAGTGTCGAAAACCTTGAACATATCGAAGTAGATAGTATCCACTTGACCTTGGTTAAAAGCACAGGGGACGAGTAATAAAAGAATTGCAGAGGTTAGTTTTGACTGATCTCCCCTGAAGAAATCCATGCCGGTCATGATTTATCTTTTAGCAGAAATAAAAAGCCGCCCATGAACAATGATTTCAAAAACCTTCGAGAAAGAGCACAAAAGGGAACCGGGTCGGTAGTTATTGACAAGGCAAGCGTCACCTGCTTTAAATATTGGCACTATAATTACTTCTTTCCATTGCCGCGGAAAAATACCAGCCTTAAAAGATAAGTTAAAAATATGCTGTAAGATAGGAGCCAGAATGTCTCCGCAATCTTTGATAATAAAACACTGGATAGAGTTCATCCAGTCCCAATGAAGAAAAGTACTTTCTCGACAGAAATTCACGGTACAATGAACCAACAACTGGGCATGCTCGATGGCGGAGTTACAGCAACACTTCCTGTTGTGAGTGGTGGCTCGCACAGCCTGATGATGTACTGGGCACTCAGCACAGCTGAGCATATGCACCGTCAGGCTTTGTTGCATACATCCATGCCACTTCCGCTGGTCGCTTCATCAGACTGACTCTCTGACATCTTCCCTGACCTTTCCAGGTACTTAAAATTCCCTGTTTTCCTGGTTGTTAGACACAGTTGTGTTTTCCACTGTTTTGCACCTCCTCTTTTCACCTCGCCACAATGGCAAGGTGCAAGGAGAAAGTGCAAAAGAGTGGAAAGCACGAACTGTATGTTGCAAGGTGTCTATCAACCAGTTCAGCCCGGAATAAAAAGGGCTTGCCACACAGTTCAGGAAAGGACACTCAGATGGTCAGTTTAGGAGAGGAGGACAATTGGAGCTTTATCTTTGCTGCAGAAAACCAATATCCATAATAATACCATTAGCGTAATATAGAAAAAAAACTTTAAACTTACTCTGAAGCACACTGAACAACTCCATTGTAGCAAACAAACGCTTCCCCTTCTGTCCATAGAGGCTATATTTCTGCCCCTGTGAGCTTTCAAACAACTTTGCAAGGATGCGAGCAGTGGCAGTACGAGGGGTGTTGCCCCCAATACCAGCAAGCTGCCGGGCCTGCAAAAGAACATTGTGGGTTAAGTGTAGGCTTTTGTGTTTTCAGATAAATCCAATAAAGTCTGATAAACATCCGCCGGCACGAAATTCGCCGATTCGGATTCACCTGAAAAAGAAATTACGGAACAGCAAGTTGTACAAAACCATCCTGTCTTGAAACGTTCGCTCTCCGGAAACAATTTTTATGTATCTCTTCTTTTTCAGTTTCAACTTTTGCTCCTAAGCATCACACAAGGCCTAACTGGAGATAATAGCGTGAAGGTCGTAAAACACACACTAAGAAGAGCCCCAGTTATGCTTAATATATGAGATTACACAAGGCCCCTTATCAGCAAATCAAGATAGCCTTCCTACCGCAATGGTCGAACACATCTCACCTACGAAAAGGCTGATTTACTTAAATTGGCAAATGTTGTTTTCTGCCTTCGTTTCCTTCACCAAAAACCCTGAAAAACTTGGAATTTGAGTCGCATAAAAAAAAAGAAAAAGCTCCGAAAAACTCTATGATTTGTGGTTAAAACGAGACAACGAAAAGCACCCTCCGATTTCGTGCAAAAGTAAGCTTCGAAAATGCAGAACCTTAGTTATATAACATATTCCATCTAGATACCATTGATTCCAAAATTTATTCCTTACAATGTTCGGCATATTGAATTCATACTTATACTATCACTATGATATTAAAGCTGAAGTTTTTGGTATCTATCTATTCTGAGTAGACAAAACTAAAACACAAAATAGGAGAACAATTACATAAAAAAACAGGACAGCACAGCCTTTAACAAACAACTCAGTTCTGCTTCATCAAAATAGCTGAAATCCCTGTGCAGATTCTTGTTGAAGTGTGAAACAATCTACAGAGTCTTGTACTATGTAAGCGTTCCTACGCAAGTGCTGTGAAACTGATCTGAAAATTTTATGTTCAATCGATTACACTTTCTTCATACTGTGAAAATTGTTAGTGACGCTTAGCAGCTGCATCAGCAGCCATGGTGTTTGAGCAAGCCGCCGCCGCTTAGCTGTGTCGTACGCATGCACAGCACGGCACCGCGCATGCGCTAGCCTTTCCCAGCTCACCAACTTTCATGCCGCTGTGCCAGAACTCTACCGCTCAGCGCCGCCACTTCTCGGCACTACCTTCTCTCCTCCTCAACACATCAAGCAACAGACGGACGCCGGTGCAAAATTTTGGGTAGTAGGGACTCCAATGCTCTGCATTAATCATATTCAGGGTAGATTTCGCAGTGGTTTTATGTTAATATTGAAAACCAGAAACCTTGCGTGTCTTTTATATGAAGCCTTAAGCCATGTCCAAGCTGGCAAAGCAAAGCACACTACCACCTAACCAGGTTATCACCTGCAGAGGCAGAAATACATAGAAAGCAAGGTTAGATGGTGCTTCTGATGCATGGTTGAATCAGATAGCTCATAACATTTGCTGCAGTCCTCTTAAAGGGCAACTTCGGTTGCTTTTTGATGTTGAGAAAACGATGCAGTTCTCTTCAGTATCATCTAGAACAAGCACACGTCAAGTATCACCACGTAATACCGCTTAAAAGTTTATGAGATTGGCGAAAAAGCGCATCCAAACGCTGAGTCAAACGTCATCGCGCAGAATAATTGTTTCCTTTGTTTTGTACTAGGTGGCGCCACTAGCAAAACAGGATACGGACCGCGCATGCGCCTTTGTGCGCCCGCACTCTCCTCGTCGCTTCATCTGAGCTCAGCGACGGTGGAGGTCAGATTTGCCTGGAGCAGACTACACTTGTAACCCGTCGTGCAGGCTGGCGCAGATGTTCGGACTACATGGTCACGTACGAACAGTCGATGACGACACGGAACCAGTATAGGCAGCCGTAATTGAAGTTTCGGTTTCACTTTCGGGTTTACGCTTAATAAGGATTGACATAAAAATAGTGAACTTTCTGGGAAACAAATGACGTAGAACCGTGTTTTAGTGTTTCCCAAAGTATAATCATTTATTATCCCGATATTTTCAAAACTAACCGGAGTTGTCCTTTAAGGGGGCATTGAAGTCATCTTTGACACAGTCTTTTTTACAATGATCACTCAATCTGTCATCTTTGACACCGTCTTTTTACGATGATAACTCAATCTGTGCGTTCCAAGCATTCTAACAAACCCAAAGTTACAATCCTGCACGGCCTATTTCCCAGGAGATCTTCCTTGTGGTCGACGAAGAGTGCTTGTCGTCTAATTGCAGGCGATGGCTTCCCCTGAAGCCATATAACAGAGTATCCTCAGAATGTGTGCTTATCATGCTCTTTTCAAAACGAGTTATAATAACTTTGTTTACAACCTGCGTGGATTTTAGGAACTTCCTTGGTCTAGAGAATGCAGTACACCAGAGAGATGTGTGCTTTTGTATTGCCCTGAGATGAGTAGGCGGTTTTGTATTTCAGAACTTGAAATCTGTAATAACTAATCTCTTTTGAAGAATAAGATATCAAAAAATGACCTTCAGATATGACTTCAGGGCCCCTTTAAGGTGCAACAGAGTAACACATGCGTTTTCTAGAAACTTGATTTAATCTTACCAGTTGCAGGCAGAACTCCTGGCTTGCTTTCAGCTTTTCCTCAATTTCATCAACATCTGCATCTGTTTTCAATGGTGCTGAAATACAGGCTTCTTCAGCTGGCTCGCAAGGTTCTTCTCTTTCCAACAGCTTTTTGGTTATTGTTTTCAGTTGCTTCTTTACGAAGCGAAGCTCTCTTAGTATAAGACGTGAGAAATCTGAAAGCACAACAAAAACAAAAAGGGCAAACATGTTAGACAACAGATAGAATGGAATGTAGTGTCGTTTCTGTTATCCAAAGGAGGGCACAGAGAGAAGCACCAGCTCGCTCACATAAAGATATAGAAGCTACTGCATGCGCTATAGCATCCACTAGCGCTGCTACTTAAATAGCACTACATCGGTTGCACTGACGTAATTTGGTCCTTTTTTTGGCTGGCCGAACTACCTCGAGCATAGCCTATACTGTACCTATTCTACAAGCAGGTCGTGAGTGAGCAGAAAGGAGTCAGTGCAGCTTGCACCGCATTAACGACACGCTTCTGCCACCAGCGAGGAAGGACATGACGCCACGTACAGTCCACGCATATAAACAGTACATTCAACATTAGGTTAAATATGATCATTAATAACTGCCACTGATAAGAAACAACACATCTGTATTTTGGACGAACCACTACTGTAAATTACTACTTTGGCGGGTGCGACAACTTGCAAATTTCACGAAGTGCCAGTTCTGGCACTACGTGCAGGCACCGACATTCGCAATTGGGACCGGTATGATAAATATTCGTATCCATGAGGTGACATCTTCGTGCAAGTAATTTTTTGTAATTTTTTTTTTGAATTACGAGGTTCGACAAAAATAGGCACCTGTGAAAATTAAGTTGTTTACAGTATATTTCTCTTTGTAATTGCCACCTAAGCGGCCACCGAAGTAGACAAGATCGGAACATTTGCAATGCGACCTGCTGCTACACGCGCAGTATACAAAACAAATGCAGTTGTGGTTGTGAGCACTGTTAGTACCATTGAGTCACAGCTTTGTGAGCCTGATTGTCTGAAGACGAGCATTCCTTCTCTGAGAGAGACACTCTGTACATGCATGTGTGTTAATTGTCTGAAGACGAGCATTCCTACTCTGAGACGGCTCTGTACATCCATATGTGTTAACATTGTGCAGCTCCTAAACTTAGCAGTGCTTCCGTGTTATGTGCTGTGCTGGAGGGCTCTCCCAATTCGAACAAATTCAAATGTAAACAATGCCTTACAACAGTCATTGGCAACGTTTATTGTTTCCGGATTGGGTGATGGTGTAACACACAGGCTGCAGTCCGATGCTGGCAGAGTGAGAGGGGACCATTAAGTGCAGGTTTTACTATGGGTTTTTTGAGAAAAGGCTTCGGCATGCTGTCCTCGTTCCTTACCGGGCTGTGAAATGCTCAGCATGCAGAAAAGCTCTCCTCTGCGAAATACTGTATGCTGTGCATACTTTCATTCTCCAGAGACTCAGTTTCTGTGTTTGAGTGATAAGCGTTGAAAAGGTGTATACTTTAAAATGAAAAAGCTTACCTGGAGGGCTTGATGAGGGTGGGACCATGAAGTTGCCTGCAGCTTCGTAATCACCTCTCTCACTGGAATGTGAAGCAAAAAGAAAACACTAAAGAGTGTTATCAGGGTGTCTTGACTGCTTCGCTTCGCTCGCGGTGGCGCACTGAGCCCGAGCACAACAAATGGTTCAGTACACCACCGTGAGGTACCATGGGAGCAAAATTTGTACCTATATTGTCAGTGTTTCCAAATAAAGCCACAGAGAGCACTTGCAATCTAATAGTAGCACCAAAGGAACAGTTCATGTAATAAAAAAGGAAAGGAAAAGAATTTAGTGTTTCGACACCTCCTTGCAAAGTGGCGACTAGTGCAATCGACATGGCCTAAAAGAGAGGCATCTGCCCCCTCCCCCCATGTGCATCAATTCCAAACATAGAGCAGGATCAATGTCCAAGATGAAAAGCTTTTGCTCTTCTCTGTGTTAAAATTAAATGCTTATTCTATCGGAACAAAAATAATAAAAAGTTAGAAGTGTTAGTTTATACTATGCATAAAATATTCAAGCAACTGCATGGGCGTTGATAATCTGAGTTGCACATGCACAGAAAAAACACCCACAGACCCCTGCTTTCTGCGAAAGTTAGCGATGCGATGGTACATGACACCAATTGAGCAGTTGAAAACGCCCTGACAATTGGAAGCACCTTCCAGCATCTACAGCCAAAAATGTCACTGATCATACGTTTCAAGCTGTCATCGATACTCTGTACTGTTCAGATTAAGCACAGAGGGTACAACTGCCTTATCCAACTGTTGTTCTCCTTTAGCCCCACGCCCCTTTGTAATGCCAGTGGCAATGAATGTATTTGAAATAAATGAAGAAATAAAAAAATACATAGGCCCTATTGAAATTTGTTTCGTGTTCAATGCCACCTAGTTCCTTTAAAGGTAACCAAAATAACAAAGAAAAATAAATAGCATGATTTTGCAAATAGAAATGCTGATTTTGATTTTAATGATGAACTGAGATGTTGAAGACATCTGTTTTGCTTTCTTGGCAAGCAAAGAATGCAAAGCGTGAATTGGTGCTTGATTGCGAGAGAAACACATTTGAAAACGGTCTCCCACATCGCTGCAACTTGAACTGGTTACCAGCAAGAATTTCGCGAAGCAAGCGGAGGTCCTTGTCAACCTGAAATCGTATCCGAGGCCTATACTGCGACGCCTCTGCAGAAGATGTGGTTGGAAGTGACTGGCGGCAGACATCTTGGATTGAATGACAAACGTAAGCGGTGCCACCCTCCCTCTGCTTAGTAAACATGGCAGCAGAACGGAGCCTGTGCTCCGATTGCCCGTTGCCGGCTAGGCGTTGTGGGCATGCGCAGTTGCCTCCTGGCTCGGGTGGAGTCGGCCATAACAACAAAATCGCTACAAAAGATGTTTACTAACTAAGTCTTTACTAGACATTCTTTAAGTCTCAGAACGTTGTTATCCTCGGGGACGGCTTTTCTTCGCAATGCAGAAAAAGCTACGAGCGACCGTGACCTTACACAAGCAGGGCACTGATCGAAGCTACATACGTGCTCTCTTCACTTCCGGTATGCAAAGAAAAGTTGTCCCCATGTATAGTACCTTCCTCACGGCCATTTGGTCTGGTCGAGGTGAACACTAAAGTGAACAAGTTAATCAAATCCGCAAGTCCTGCACTATCAGTAAGAAGTTATTTTTAAAATCAGGGGTCTGGAAAATTCTCTCGCTGAACCAATGCTCAATTTCATAAAATATGGACATGTCATACCTGTCCTTAGCTTGTGTGAGCTAAGTCTGCATTTGATTACATTTATCGAATGCTTTCTATGTACAAAATGAACAGACATTGCTCTTTACTTCGCTTCTCCATTACAAAATATACAACATTCTCTTACCTTTGATGCCAGAAAGGGTGTGATGAGGCTCCTCCGATTCCTTCCTCATGGTCAGACTCATCCAATGAATGTACAGCGTAATTACTGCTGTTACGACTTTCCTATGAAAAATATTAGATCCTTTAATTACCACTACAATTAATTAACCTCAACTTAATTATTACGCCCTCAGGAGCCAAGAGCAGTAGAGTGTGGGAATGCATAAAAAAGCCACTACAAAATAAGTAACAAATACGCTATCAATTTGAGCATTTTGGTCAAATATATTATTGAGACAGTGAGAAAACTGTGCTGAGAACTAAAGTTAATCTAGCTTGTAGTCCGAGGGCAAAAAAGCTAAACCGAAACCGTCCATCATAAATACCATCTTCAAAAGCGTTGTCCTAATGTCAAGTGCTGTATACACAACACAACAAAGCAAACATACATGTTTTATGTTTTCTTTTGTACATATTTCAATTATTTTGTGGAAATCATCCATTGAACCAAGTTATAATCTACTAGAGTAGGTTGCTGAAGGGGCCTCGTCCTGTTTTCCAGATGCTACAAATCTTTGAGACCCTGCAATTACATGAAAATAGTAATACGTAGTTAACAGGATAAATATTTTAGTCTTCAAGCAGAGCAAGTATTTGATTCTACATATTTCCTTTAAATGTAGTACCATTCTTTACTGCAGTCTCTTGGTACAAATGCGAGTTGTCATGCCGCACCTCACTCATTAAGTGGTGAAAGCAAAGCTATGTGGAGTGACCATCGATTAATACTGTAAATGGCATAATTTTTGTGACGATGCCATTTTCGCAAATGTTGCCACGATCAAAATCACGAAAATTCGGTGATGCAAATAGTCACCCCATGGGTACCATTACATTGCATATCACTCCTAATCGCAAAATATTGTGCCTGCGAGCGAAATATTCCTGAAACCAGCACTTCCCAAAAAAATCAACTCCGTGAAAATAAAGGTCTTTGCAGTATTCCATGCAAAATGTCAATGTTGCCAAGAAGAAAAAAGAGCTGCCTCCAGCAAAAGATTTCTAGTCTCGACAGCAAATGCCTCTCAAGCGCAGCAAAAGCGTGGTGGAACACAGCGACGTTGTGAAGGAGGTGGAGCTACTACTGCACTCCTTACATATCAAATACTATAATAAAACAGGAGGCTACTTGCCTTACACTTGCACGGCTCAACAACACTGTTGTGGTTGCTCTTGAAAAAACTAAAGCAGCCTACGTCGCTAAATCTAATTTTAGTCACGTCCACTAATAATGCTCTGTTTACAATATGGAAGTTTATTGATTAAATAAGCATTACTTACATGAGTCTGTTATCAGCCTGTGCCCAATTGACTAATCAATAATTGCACACCATATGCTAAAACCGAAAAGCATACCTGGAGGGTTTGATGAGGGCGGGCACACAGAGCTGCTTGCAGTTGGATGATCACTACTCTCCTTTGACGCAGCGCCACTGAAATGTGAAGCAATGAACACTAAACATTAACCAAATCTACTACAAACTCCCAATGTCTCAGGACCTCTTTACTCCCTTGATCACGGGTAGTATTTGGTTCAGGCAAGGTCAGCATAGAACTGAAAAAGTTAATCAAATCCAAGTCTTACACTGCCAACAACAGGTTCCTCGTAGATTTAGGGACCTGGTGGTGGCCCTGAGAAGTGGCCACCCTTGTCTCTTTTGTAGCATTCAAAAATTAACAAACCACTGGTCTATGACTGCTGAGATAAAGAGGAAAAGTAAGTTGCAGTATTTCTCAAACCATGACAGAATCCAACCTAACTCAGACACAACAGAATCCAACCTAAGCCACTCACAACATAATCCAATCTATGCAACTGGATGTCAACTATTCTCGTTCTGACTTTAGGCTAGTGCATTTGCATCTTACAAAAAGGAGTCAGTGCTTTGTATGGCAGTGGAAGCCATAACCTTCAGATTTCACATTAATATTTATCATAACCGAAAACACTTTCTGTGTCTTTGGTGTCTGTGGGTATTATTTATTTGAATTTTAAGTTCAGATAAATGGCAATATTGCATAAATTAAACTCCAATAAATTTGAAACGTTCAATCACTGAAACTTTACTGGCAGCAAACTGTGATAAGTGCCAAATTTGCAGTAAAAAATAAGCTAAGAAAACATGGAGTCCTAGGCAAAACATATCAATGTATGATGTTGCCAAAGTTCTAACAGTTCACATACAAATTCAGCACCTTGGTCAGTTGATGTTGCAACATTATCAGTATCCTCCCCTTTCCTTAGTTTCGATCTTGCTTTCTGGAAAGTATCTAAGAAGATAAGCAGACAATGAAATAGCATATTTCACAACCGAAGACAGTCAAAATCCAAAGTAGAGATGGCATATTTATATAGGGTTGCTCAAAGATCAAATGAAGCTTTCATCCAAGAAAAAGATTTGCTTACTAGAATGAAGCATTCGCCTAAGAAAAAGATTAGCTTGTTTAATTCCCTCCTACAAGAAAGGTGTAGACAGTTAAAAGTGTTCCATAGCACATTGATTACCTCATATTAGAAAAATCCGGTACATGTGGGCTCGACTCTACTTTGAGACGGCAAGACCGCTCAAAAGAAGTGAGAGCAGCACAGACGCCTAGAACTATCGAAATTATATTAGCTCCCAAAGGGTCTTAGTTTATGTAATGGGCTTCAGTTTATGTTAGGAGTGCCCACTGATATCTTTGTGGTTGTGGATTGAGAATAGTAGTCACTAGAAATGTAACATCAGATTTATGACCACGGTAGTTAGCCAAATTCCCCTACATTTCCTGACTTCGGTAGACACTCGGCTAAAAAAGCATAAAAAATAAAGAAAACATGTTGGCTTGCCTACCTTCCTTGCTCAGGATGACAATGCTGTGCCTTGTGTATGTCAAATCTGGGGACTCTCTGAGTTTCACGGCTTTGATAGCTCTTGATGCCCTAAACTTCGACGGCAGAGGCACTCATTTCCATTGAGCCAATTCGACGGGACCACGTCAACACTGCTATCACTAAAAAAGCGAACAACTGCAAACATATTGTCTGAAATGATGGAACAACAAGGTCATACAGTCGCAAAATGGAAAAGGAAACCAAATGTTAAAGGGCAATTCCGCTTACTTTTCATGCTCTCTGATTTGCCTCAAAATTGGTTAAATACACCAATAAACAGAGAAGAACCAGACAGCAAAATATTTTCACAAAATAAAATGTTTTCACTAGGTTATTGAATTTTCAAATCTGGGGTTCACCGCGAATGTATGTGACATCACTTTTTCCCTGTTTGGGCTATTGTGGGCCGGAGAACTTGTTTCTGACTGGTTACGAAAAGTTTGATGGTACGAACCGAATGCTGTGAAAGTTAACATGGGCCCTCTGCCTCAGAGCGGAAAAATAGTGTGATATTTGGTTTTTAAACTTTCCGAGCGATCTGCAAGCGTGCACGCACGTGACGTCGTGCCCTGAAAAGGGCGGTAAAATCTGAATGTTGGTTTTGGCGTCGCCGTTTTCTCAATAACTAATCTGAATTTAGAGATGGAAACTAGTCTGTCAGGAAGAGAAACGTTGGGGCATTCAGGAAATGTAGTTCGTTTGGGTAGCTCAAAAAGTAAGCGAAGTTGCCCTTTAAAGCATCGGGTAAAATTTAATTTAGACAAACTAGACAGAATGAAGCAACGGGAATACCAAGTACTCATTGCACAACTCTACGTTTGCTAACAACACACACTTGGCCTGCACACTAGACAATGGCCACACTTTACAAGAGGACAAGGTGGACACAGTAAAAATGCCCAAGTCACTGGACTTGCAAGGGGAGGTGAAAAAGTCGCGGGATGTCATGAATTGTCTCCCGAGAAGTACTTTCGATCCTACTTTGTCGAAACAAAAGTCAGAAACAAGGACGATACTCGAGTCAGAAAGAATACAGCAGTTATCCCCAACGGTTGATTTGAGCACAAATTGGGGGAAGACAGCATCGTGAAACTGCGGCACTTCACACGAGCTTGGTAGCTGCCCTCCCATATGCATTTGCTTGCAAGTCACTTGAGGTTGGGCATCTTTCTGGAAAGCATAGAGCTTCCTGCTAGTCTTAAGCTCACTTATTCTGTTATGCAACTGCTCAAGGGGCCGTGTAGAGCTTCGAACGAGGCGTTTAAGCTGGAACATGAAGCTCTCAGCTGGGAACGCACTGAAATTATCGAGTGCCCCATAGTTCATAACATAATCAGCCAAACGCACTAGTCCGTGAACATTATACGACACCTTTCCACGGCCGTACAATGATTTGAAGGAGTGTACAAAGAAACAAAGAAGCTCCTTGGCATAATTGTTGTATGTGGTGCACATGCTCGGGTTTGCAAGAATCCTGATAGCAACATGGAGCACAAGAAAATGCTCATATCTCTCTTGGTCTAGGACACCTTTTAGCACCACTGGACCCAAGTACAGCAGGAAGCAACGAAGTTCAGTTGCTTTCCAGAAGCCTAGGTCCTTCAAAGGCCGATGCAAACGTGCAAACTCTGTGCAACAGAACTGTATAAGGTCAAGCAGCCGCTGCGACACTTCATTCACTCTCATTGAGGGCAGGCGGTAGGACTTGCTTCCTTTCATCCAGAGAAGCAGCAACTTTTTGGTAACGCCAATGCACACTAGATGCATGTAATCTAAAGGAAACTTTGACACAAGTCCTAGAGGCAGTGACTTCAGTGGAGTGTCCTTGACCTGGTGTTTTTCCTGAGCTTCTTGTGCGAAAGCTTCATCTGTTCGTAAAGGTGCATCAGTTTCTAAAAAAACTACTGTGCCATCTACAAACACGCCCTCCTGGGTGCATTTGTCACAGCCAAAGTAGCTTGAGTGCGACTTGATACCCAACAAGAACGCTTTTGCTGGAGCATCACATACAAATCCCCTAATGTACACCGTGAAGAGCTGCCCAGAAAAAGGGAGTCCATTTGTAAAAAGATTATCAAGGTCATCAATAAATACCGAAAGGTA